AGAATCCATTTGCACCAAACAGAGCTACACTTTCTCGTATTGCCCTGCACCATGATTCTTTCTTTGGTGAACGTAAGTTCTGTTCCAGCAGGGGTGCAATAGTTGTATTTGCTGCTCTAAAATTGTCTTCGTTAGTAATAATACCAATGTGTCTTCATTATCATGTGTTATTGAACGGGTATTTCTGGCATCATCATCCTGATGGAAAACTGTGACAGTAGTATCACTTTGTGCACAAAGATCATCTGTATGTAGCACGCAATTAAGCTCAACATGGTCCTGAGGCGCATCAACAAAGTGGTCTTCACAATGAGGTTCTATTGAAACTGATTCCTCTGGTATCAACGTGGACGATGGTCTAATAAGAGTTCCAGCTAGGCACACGTGGAATCCAATGTCACCCAAAATAAGGAACGTTCGGGATAGGCCATACAAATCTAGTAGAAATGTCGTTAATGGTCCGACTGCTAGTAATCCTAACGCGTTTCCAGACATGCATATACCATAAGCTGCCGTGAGTCTCTTATTGAAGAAGTCTCCGGGCGCTACGCCACTCACATTAACTTCCAGCCCGCAACCGAGACCTGTCAAAATAAATACCTAAAGTACTGGATCTGTGTGAGCGAATGGGTAATTCGTCCTTGTATACTGCTGCTATATATTCACCCGTTATGACGCCGAACGTGAGGATTAATCCGGTGACAGATCTGCAGAAGGATGTGGATGCTAGTCCCAGAAGTATCAGGATGCCACCAAACACTGGCCAATCTGTGTCCGAGTCGGCTTTCAACCTTTCCTACGAATGGTCCTGAAAGAAGGTATTTATTGCAGGTGTCTATATTGTTATTTCTTGTTTTGATGATGTCATTGATTAAAACCAATACACCTCATCAGCTAAAGGCCATGTTCAGATCGCATACCTATTGCTTTACATCATTTTTCTGTTAATAACAAGCAATGATTGTTGATAGTGCCAAATGTGTTTGTACCCTGGTCGTATTCTACAGATATTTGCCATTCAGGCAAGCAATTAATAGTCTAAATTGTCTTATTACTTCATAGTGAGAACACAAAGATGGAATCGAACTTCTCCGTCAGAATACGTAATGACCATTTATACTTTAGTAGACATCATCAATTTGAAGATATTGGCTTATATGATTGGTGTTCCTGAGAACATGGCTTACGTCATAGATAGAGGAGCTTATGCACACTCGATAACCACAGCAACCCAGTTGCTAGGCTGACGTCACATGGCATTGTTTCCACAGTGTAGCTTGCAACAAAATTACATAACTGGGTATTGAGACGTGTTTGTAAACTTTGTGGTGCAGGGCCCCGTTCCACAAAGCGATCGTAGCGCAACGATAACCGCAAGTTATTGTGGCGTAAAGTCGGAATGACGTTATAGCTGAAGCTGTTGACGTCATTCAACAAAGTTTGTGATTTTAAGGTCAAGGTTAAGAATAAATGGGTCGTGTACTAAATCATGTTGCACAATAATTCGGACACTCGTTTCGTATGTACAAACAATTTTATACACATGCTTGGATAAAACATAACTTTCTGTGTTAAACAGTGAAATCGTTGGGGATGCCTGCTAATATGGTATAAGTTATATGTTACTCATTAATTATTAATTCCTGTTTAATGACAGGTCACGTATTGTTTACAGAATTACAGATAAGCACCGCAACATTCGTCTTACGCAATGACGTGTCTCTATTGCAGTATCGTAACGTGACGTCATTGTTATTCAAAATACCTTTATGAAAAACTGTGAAAATGGCTACATAGTGAAATGCGAATCTGGTGAAGTTGTCAATATGTGGTCACAGGACATAGAGAATCTCACCCTTGTGTCTTTTGATATCAAATATATCAACACGAGTTGATAAAAGTGGAAAAATTCCGAGGCTTGCCGAGGATATTTTGCCACTTTTATCAACGAGTGTTGATATATTTGATATCAAAAGACACAAGGGTGAGATTTTATTTATCATCCAACATCATTCTTTCAACTTTTTCAATTTGTAGACAGTAATTAGCAGTGTCTTCAGTGTAAAAAGTACTGCAAACAGCTTCAGTAGCAGAGCCATTAGTGATGTCATTTGATTGTGACGTCATGGTAACCAGTGACGTCACAATGGTCTGCAAAGCATTGTGATGTAATTTCATTGCAGCGATATCTACAGTGGAGATATCGCTTGATCTCATCCAAGCGATATCTCCTGTGGGAGCCAGTTTTGGATGATAAAATATATTTGCAAACTCACTCCAATTTGTTTTCAATTTGAAAGGAATATCGTAGTGATAAATATTGTAGAAGTGATTGAAATGGAAATGAATTACGTTTTTTTATATTGAAATAATTGTATAGTGTAACGACATAATGAACGTAGTCACGAAAGTGTAGGGCATGTGTAGAATAGACATAATATGTATGTATGTAGCTAGCTAGAATCCCGGGATGACCAGCTGGTCAACGGATAAGGCCAGTGGCCAGGCATCTCTAGCTACTCCCGGGACTCCAGCTAGCTACATTGTTTCGTGTCGACTTCCAAATTAAAACAATAAGTTAACCCAGAAATCGATAGTCAAAAGAAATCAGTGTGAATTTGACCAACAAACGAAAAAGAAATGGTATACGGTTAACAATTACATTATCTAGGTTAACAAATCAACACAAATTACTGCACAACAATTACAATGGCAGTACACGATAGAGTGGCAGTACAAAATACAATGGAAGTACAATTACAATGGCAGTATAGTGAGTGAGTTAATATTTAATGTCACTTCGACAGTAGGTCAGCCATAAAGTGACGAGAACAATTTGAAAGAAAAATACCTGTCACACAATGGCAGTATAAAATAATACCAGTGGTAATGGCAAAATGTCGGTGACAATCATATTCACGATGCAGCAACAGTGGTCAAGTTTCCAAAAGAGGCTTAGGCTGGGAATCCCGAATGGAAAATGGTCTTCACACAACCGCTGGTCTTGGTTTAAGGTGAGATGAGATATCCCTGTGCTTGCCCCACTTAATTATATTGTCTCAATATCTGCTGGATTAGCCAAGCAGGTCTAGAACAATCCAGATTACACCTGACCTCAACATAATTGCATATAAATAGAGTACCTTCAACACCACTGCTTACATTAAACAGTAATACATAACCTGACAACAAATTATTGTCAAAACACAATGTAATGAATTTTTACTGAACCTCAGCAAAAACAATGTAACACAATTACAACATTGTTTAACAATAAAATGCACTGCCATATAACAACATCATATGAGTAAACAATAGGTAAATGCAGGATTGTTGAACTACGTACTTCTAAACAAATCATACAGCTGGCGGCGTTAGGCGAACAATTACTTTTTTTATGCCAATTGTATCAGTAGCGGGAGCTACTGGTAGCACAGGACATGCTTACCCTTTTCGCGAACACTTGGTGTCATCACTGATTTTCAGTAATCCATTCATATAATGTTCTTCACTACTTTGCCTTTTTACGCAATGACTCTGATTCGGCAGATAATTGTGACTGATTATTCTCTGGCGTGGACGTTTTATATTATTTTACAACACATTGTAAATGGTCCCAACTTAAACACATATATTGTAGGACAGGTAATGTATCTTCTAAATATAATATAATCCTCTTATATCTTCTAATCCGATCACATTGATGTCTAATGTATCTTGTCAGTGACCTCATTGTATGATTGTGGGCCCATATTTACTATATCAACGTTGAACCATTAATATCAGGAATATACTCAACACACATTGTACATGTCCCCAACAGAGTTGATCCTATCCACGATACTTTGACCAAATCACCGTCAATTTGCTCCAGAATCGCCGGTGTAATCACCCCAACAGAGCAGAGCAAAGCGCCATAGAGAAAATCAATAGCGAAGCAGGCAGCAAGAACCACCCAGGCATATCCTCGATCAACCTCCTCTTTTGGAGTTTTCATTGTTTTGTTTCTAATAAGCAGAGAATGTGCCTTTCAAACGGACTCATTGTTGTTTGCACCAAACCGTTGATATTATTTCAGGAAAATTAAGGTGGTTACTGAAAAATTGTTTGTTTGTTGTTTCATGACACACTCAGTATCATGAGCTTTTTTCATGGCGACCTGTAAATAATCGAGTCCGATTTACACAATCCGAGACAATGAAGTTTACCAAAACGTTATAATCACCACTTTCCTATTCTGATGGGGGCCTAGAATAAGTAGTTCATGTGTTTCCATGCTACAAACTGTAAGTGATTGAGTCAATGTGGTTAACACTTATTCTAGCAACAAGTCATGACATGACGACGACAGGTAGCTGAGGTAATCTCTGTTTTGCTCCTATAAACGATTTTATGGACTTGTAGCTACGGGCTGTCCACCAGCTATTGTTTTCCAAATAAGTTCCCGATCCATGACAACACGGGACAGGGTAGAATTGGTCTTCAGCAACCAATGCTTGCCGTAAAAGGTGACTATGCTTGTCGTAAAAGGCGACTAACGGGATCGGGTGGTCAGGCTCGCTGACTTGGTTGATGCATATCATCGATCCCAATTGCGTGGATCGATGCTCATGATATCAACCTCTGGATGGTCTGGCGAGCCTGACCTCCCGATCCCGTTAGTCGCCTTTTACGACAAGCATAGTCGCCTTTTACAGCAAGCATGGGTTGCTGAAGACCTATTCTACCCCGGAATCTTCACGGGTCTGAAGCGTTTTGAAAGCTTTAATAAGACCTTCAATGACCGAACAGCTTTTCAGCAAGAGTTGTGTGGCACTCTTTGAAATCATGGTCGGAACAGCATGTTCAACTGTACCTAAAACTTGTAAAAAAAGAGACACCAAAAGCTGGGGGTGCTGAAGTATTGCTCGAACGGACAGCTTAATTGACTACTGGAAAGTTGAAGTCATCCCCCTTGTCTTGTGGATTGTAATAGTAACACTTGCAGCATTCGTGTTGTCTTTATTAAGCAGCATGGATGACATTCTCGTACAGTCACATATATTCTGCTGACATGGTCACACACGACGTGTCATACCCTCACTATGCTGACTGTCGCTGCTGACACACCACTCATGATCAAGCATATACCTGGAAAGGGATATGATCATGTCATATATTAAATAGAATCTCAGTAAATAAGGCTAGTTATAAATTTGTGAACATCGTTTTCATTTCTTCTCATCATTATGCAGTGACTAAAAGGAGTCATCAACGTCAAGTAATACGTGTATCTACATCATGTGGCAAAGTATGTGATGTAAAATTACTTGATTTTCAATATAAATTTATTTATCGCACCATCTTTATAAAGAAAGAATTGTTTAAAATGAAAATTCTCGATGATGATCTGTGCTCATTTTGTGAAACTGATAATGAATCCTTACTTCATGTATATTGGGATTGTAAGCATGTTAAAGAGTTTTTGGCTAAAGTTGAATGCTTTCTATTACAAAATGTTCAAAACAATTTACATTTACAAAATGCTCTGTTTTACTTGGGTACAACTCTAACATTCTATTAAATCACATTATACTGGCATGCCAAAAATATATACATGTATCAAGTATTAAGAAAAACAAATTGTCACTTGAAACGTTTATGAAGATTTTAATTGATATATTTCGGATAGAGAAATCAATTGCACACAAAAACAATACAATAAGACAGTTTGACAGAAAATGGAAAGATCTGGCAAATGAACTGTCTAGTTAATATGTCTCTATTTTTTTATATTTATTATTTTTATTTTTTATTTTATTTTTTTTAAATATTTTTTTTTTTACACGACCAATTTGTAAGGATTTAGCTCCACACTTAGTTAATAAATATGGCAAATATTTGCCCGTTTTCACCATGTGTAAACTTTGATGGACACCTGTAGCGAACTTAAACTTTCTGACCTGCTGTCTGCTGTGTAGGTAACCTATACCTAACAAGTATGCTACAAGACGTGCTACTCCATGTATAACTCTGTAATGCCATATACTGAATTGAATAAAAAATATTTTAAAAAAAAGATAAAGTATTTGTTTACACAAAACTGAAGTGATAAAGCCACTTCCCTTCGCTCTAATAATTGCGCAAACTGATGTTACCCGGACACACCTACATGTATATTCACCAGATTCTGACTACAAGTAATACATTTGATACAGTAAACAGAAAACAGTTTACCTGCAAAGACATAGGTGAAGTCGTACACTCCACTTGACTTATATATCCAACCTGCAATTAAAAAAGAACTCTTGGTATCATTTTACACAAACATTAAGCAATAATTAGTTGTGCAATAATCCGCTGTGCAGAAAGGTTCATTATGAAAAAAACAACGTATAAACACGTTTGTGTACTGCATGAATAAGTAAACACTTGCAGAAAATAATTGCAATCAATCTACAACTTTGACAAAGGGCACAGTTAAGGAGGTGAAGACACAGTAATCGCCAAAAGCTTGGATCTATAAACTTCCACCTGGCATTTCCTCCCATTTTAAGTTGACACATAAAGCTTTAACTGAAAGAAATTCAAATATGAAATGTCAAGGCCAGAGAATACTAGTGTCTGCCGAAGCAGATTCGATTGGGCGTAAAAGGCAAAAAAGCGGTGAAAACTATATGAATTGATCACTGAAAATCAACGCGAATCAAACTCACTTACTCACCCTTTTCATCCTAATTTTAACATCAGTACAATAGAACTTCAAAGAAAAGAAATGCATAAGGTGTGCGAATGAGAAGAGTGGGTGAGTGAGTGAGTATGGTTTTACGCCGCTTTTAGCAATATTTTCCAGCAATATCACGGTGGGGGGCACCAGAAATTGGCTTCACACAATGTACCAATGTCGGGAATCGAACCCGGGTCTTTGGCGTGACGAGCGAACCACTAAGCTACCCGACCGCCCTCGAATGAGAAGAGGAAAATATGAACATGTTCTTGTTTCTTTAGTATTTTTTAACACTTACTTGCAGTAGGTGGGCCAAGTATATTCCCGATTCCACAAAAGAAGTATATAAACCCATACGCAACAGACATCTTCTCTTTGGCTACCAAGTCTAGGATTGCTGGACCGATCAGTGCATTTAGGCCTTGACTGTACGTTCCATACAGCAGACCAAACACCAACTGCGTGCCGTAGCAGTGAGAATAGAGAGGAAAAAACAGAAGTACCATCCCAGCCAGCCCAGCAAGTCCTACATGGAGCACCGTATATGGAATTGTCGGATCTGAAGCTACCATTCCTGTAGTTATTCTTGAAAACACACTACCAACTCCCATTGCTGTGAACAGAGTTGCTGCTTCGGACGACGAGCTTCCTTTTTGTTGAGCATAGTTCGGAAGGTGGAAGACGGCTGCGGACTCACCCAACATCCATAGCATCATGCTGATGCTAAACACCAAATAGCCTTTGGGGGGGGCAACAAAGCTGTAGACATTGCAACCCATTCTTAATATTTTTCCAACATCGACAGATGGATACATCGCCTCATTTTTATCAGACAACAGTGTGTGGATCTCATCAAGGTTTGGTACATGGGTGCCCCTCCGTGCAAAATCTGTGTCATCCAAAATGATATTTCTTTCATGCATGTCTCCAGACCTGGTAATGGAATCGTTCGTGCTTTGCGTGTCTTTACTTTCTTCATGACGCAAGGAACATTGTTCATCTGCGTCTTGGTTAGTGGTTAACGTTAGACAGTGTGGTTGTGTGTGTTGCAGTGGCCTTAAGGCCACACCAGCAACACACATATGGAATTCAATAGCACCGAGAATCAGCAGCGTCCCGTTAAGATTGTACTGAGTAAGAAGGTATCTGACGAGAGGACCAGCTACTAACAGACCCATCCCTCCGCCGGCAACGCACACACCAAACGCCGCAGCCCTTCGTTTTTCAAAGTAGGTTCCGGCAACAACCCCTGCAACATTGCAGGCCAAACAAATCCCAAATCCTGTAAAGACGAACAGATGATCAATTTCAGGATTAGACGATTGTAGTAGCCATATATACGATATACAACGATTTGTTATTGAAACATTGGCAAAGTTTGGATGTTATATTGTATCTTTTTCGTCACATTATCAGCAATTTCCTCGTTGAATGTTACTTCCATCTTAATATTAACATGACCTAAATCCGGATATTACGTGAATAACCGAATATATAACCTTCCCAAAATGTATGACATGCCCCGTACTAGATGACAGTGGATGTGCCACATTAGATAACTAGGTTTAGATATTTATCGAGAATACCTGAAATGAAGCCGTAGGTGACCACGAGGGTGACTATAGATTTGCAGAAGGATGCTGCTGTCATTCCAATCAATGTCAGCACTCCACCGGCCATTGCTGTTATTCGAGATCCTACTTTGGCTTGCATAAAACCAGCTACTGGACCTAAGAAAGACATGTTACTCATAAGACATATCATTTTGTTTATATGTTTGTACATGTTTGAAGAACTTTTAATTACATTCCTAGGTGACAGTATTTTGTTTGTTTTTCTATCAGTTGTTTAACGCCGCACTCAGCAATATTCAAGCTATATGACGGTGGTCTGTAAATAGTCGAGTCTGGACCAAATAAAATCCCTTGATTACTGTCATGAGCATCGATCCGACCATTTGGGATCGATGACATGCATCAACCAAGTCTGACCACCCGATCCCGATAGTCACCTGTTACGATAAGCATAGTTGCCTTTTACGGCAAGCAGGGGTTGCTGAAGACCTTTTCTACCCCGGATCTTCACGGGTCAGGTGACATTATTAACTGAAAGGCGTTCAGTGGATTCACACTGCAAAACGGTTGAGGAATTTATTGGACGTCCACATTATTACTTACTTTGAAACTGTGTCATACGGTTTGGATTAAGAACACTATTTTCTTGGTTTAATAAAATTTTAAACGAACCTGAAATAATAAATTGGCGAATGGTATCACTGCCCATGAAAGACTTTACACTTTTGAAGCAACCTTTATGGATCTTATGTTATTTTGACTACAAGTCGTAGAAACTGCTTAGAAAATCAGGATGGATTGAGTATCAAATCGCAGACGATGCCCTTTTCTTAATATTACACACTGATAACTCCTTCCTGCTGATGCTCGACTCAAGAGCTTGTTCTTTACACATGACAAGTGTCGGACTGCACTAATACCTAGTAGGGGCGGTCAGGTAGCCTAGTGGTTAAAGAGTTCGCTTGTCACGCCGAAGACCCGGGTTCGATTCCCGCCATGGGTACAATGTGTGAAGCCGATTTCTGGTGTCCCCCGCCGTGGTATTGCTGGAATATTGCTAAAAGCGGCGTAAAACCATACTCACTCACTCACTCATACCTAGTAAACTACACATTCCAAAGTTGATGGAGCCAATCCAGGACGTTTTCAAATTGTTAAGAAAATCAGGATGAATTAAGTATGTAATCCAAGACGAATGCCCTTTTCTTAATATTACACACTAACAACTTTTTCATGCTGGTGCCCGACGCACGACCTTGTTCTTTACTGTGTCGGACTGCACTCATACCTAGTAAACTACACGTTCCAAAGTTGATGGAGCCAATCCAGGACGCTTTAGTCAAATCATTTTCAATTTCCTCCAGGACTGCGATGTTCATGACACCAGGAGAGTACGCCAGTATCCCTGCCATGAAGTGTAAGGTGAAGGCAGCTACCAGGGCCACCCAGGCGTAGCCCCTGTCTATATTCCTTCTTGAGACGCCCGTCATTTCTGCATTACATATAACATACACCTGAACATTATTTAAGCATCACATATATTTTCATGAATGAGTCAAATCACTTGCGACCGAGTGCGTTCGAGATAAAAATTTCCAATAATGTTTACTGCTAACCAGAGTCATCATTCATGAAGAGTGAGTGTGTGAGTGAGTTGGGATTAACGCCGCTTTTAACAGTATTCCAGTTGTATTACGGCGTGTCAGCTTAATGTGGGAGAAAAGCCCGAAGTGATGCAGGTCTCAGACGTTTACCACTTCGGTGAAACCCACGAGCACGGGTATGGTTCTGACAAACCTAGAAACATAATCGGGGCGAACCGGGATTCGAACCCGCTCTCATAGGTTTCTGGCGTGCCCAAGGGATGAAACTCTGCACAGTGAATCGCGGCGGCTTAGACGACTGGGCCACCCGTGCCCCCCATTCACGAAGAAAAGAAAAAGATGGTTTGAATTGGAACAATGACTTTTACTCTGAATTGTTGACATTTTAAAGAAAGACGTTATATCTCGTGAAAAACGTATGAACGTCAAATTGTGTCGTTCATACACTTATGAACGTCAATTTCGCTGTCATGTGACCGACCTTTCGTCCAATGGAAAAGTCGTATATCTAGTAAACTTCAAATTAAAAAAATATCATACTGTGTCTGAGTGGGGTATTCATGTTAAACTGCGGAATGGTATCTCAGTGGGCTAGCACTAAAAATCGGCATCAGTCCGGGCTAGTACAAGCAGCCTCTCACACACATATACACACACGTGCAAGGCTGAATACAAACGATTGTTTGCTACATTTTGCTGACATAACATAAGCTTCGAACATAACTTTAGCATTCTTAACTCTATATCTGGACAAGGTGGGGTTCTACCAAAATCTCCATAGAGCATTGTTAAAGGAAAGATGTGCCTTTCTTTACCGGTAATAATTTTCTGAGAAACTGTACGTGAACCTTTCCAATGATCATAGCCCCTTATTTCGCCACTATACAGTAGTATTGGTTATACCATCGCGTCAAAGAGATAAAGTTGGCATTTTAAAGAGAGATTGTGTGGAGGTGCCTTACGAAAGACAAAATACATTGCGTTCGTTGCTTGGTCAAATGATTTTCATTCAAAATAAATTTCCTTCTTTTCTCAATTTTAGTACCACCGAAAATACGGACCTTCGTTTTATCCGTATTTACAGTTAGTTTCCGCCATCAACAATAAGTTTCAAAAGAATTAAGTGATTAATTTTGTAGGCCTTTACGTGTCAGCGCCAAAAGAGCTGCGTCGTCGGCATACATGAGTACAAATAAAACTAGAGCAATATCTACTAAACAGTACCCTGTACATTCCTGTTGCTTAAAATAGGATTGTAAATCATTCAAATACGAGAATAAAAGAATTGGCGATAAATTTGCCCCTCGTCTAACTCCAACCTTACAATGAAATGACACAGATTTGATACCATTATACATTTATCGTATAATACGAAAGCATTTTCCATTAATCTCCTGGGTTAATAATTTACACCAAGGACTAATTCTCCAAACACTATCAAAATTCTTCTTTTTTTTGTACTTTGAACAACTCGATTAAGCTATGGAGTATGAATATGTGATCAATGGTAGAATATTTATGTCTAAATCCTGCTTGTGCTTCTGAAAAATGTTTTCATTTTCCAAGTAAGTGTCTATTCTGGACCCAAGAACACCAGTGACTAATTAACTGAGACAACTAATTAGCTGATCACTTTGTTTGGATCTCCTGTCCCTTTAAAAAATAGTCTAATATTACAGGTAAGCCACTGGTCAGGGAAACACCTGTGTCTAGAATTGTATTAAAAAGTTTAACGTCAGGCATCATAACCTCAGAGCTAATAACATTATATTCGTTTACAACTGCATCAGGGCCACAGGCTTTGCCTAATAATGGCGTCTTGAATTTCCAGTGGTGTGGAGTCTTTGTCTAAAACATAACACTGGTCAATGTTAACAGATTCATGAGCAGTAAAATCATAAGTCGCGGAGTCATATTCATAGAATGTTGCCAAGGGAGGTAAGTGCGACGTCTTGTAGGGAAATTGGACAACACCATACTGCAATTTCCATATCAGTGCTAAAATACGGGACACATGCAGCTTTGGTATGGTCCAATGAACGTCGCGTCCAAGATTATTGAACGTATATATATATATATATATATAAATGGCGAGACAGATATCCACTATATATATATATATATATATATATATATATATATATATATATATATATATATACTAGCCACATAAAGCCACATAAAGAAACTGTGCACGGAGAAAATATAGATATAAGGTCACACCGTCCATGTATGAAATATAGGTTTGAACACAGCAATTGTTGGAGACATTCAAACGCTCATGCACGTGCCATGCGATATGACGTCATTGATGGAGGCCTATGGACGTGCAATGTGTTACTGCACGTGCATCCTGTGCAGCTGTACACAGCATGTGCAACTCAAAATTCGCTGTCACTTTGGAAAGCATGATCTGTGGTCATTCAAAAATTCAAAACTTCTCAGGCGCAGACACAAGCATATCACAAGCAAATCATGCCAAGATTGACAGCTGCACAGCGTCATGAAGCCATTGGAATGATCCGAGCGGGAATGAGGCAACAACAGGTGATAACGCATTTCCAATGCCATCGTAACACGATATCGGCATTGGTGAGGCGTTATCAGAACACAAATGACGTTGCCGACCACCCACGTTCAGGACGTCCCCGAGTAACGACGCCAAGACAGGACAGATGGATTCGAGTTACACATATCCGACACAGGTTCCAAACGGCAGTAACGACGTCCCAGACAATTCCTGGACTGCGCCGTATCCATCCCAACACTGTCAGGAATCGTTTACATCAGTACGGGATTCGACCACGACGCCCTGCCATACGTCCCATCCTGACACACCGTCATCGAGTCAACCGTCTAAGATGGTGTCGAAATCATGTTCGCCAACCTCGAATATGGTGGAGAAATGTTGTCTTTACAGATGAATCGAGGTTCAACATTTCCCACAGTGACGGGCGCCAACGTGTCTACCGGCGTTTGGGAGAACGTTATGCACGCAACTGTATTGTGGAGAGGAATCGTTTTGGAGGTGGCTCTGTGATGATTTGGGGTGGGATAACAGCACGGCACCGAACCCCTTTGGTGGTTGTTCAGGGCAATCTCACCGATGTTGGCTACAGAGATCAGATTCTGAGGCCTGTGGTCATTCCTTTCCTGCAACGTCATGGCCCGGGATTAACATTTCAACAGGACAACGCTCGTCCTCACACGGCTAGGGTCGCAATGGATTTCCTTCACCATAACAATGTCATGTTACTGCCATGGCCTGCAATTTCTCCAGATCTCTCCCCAATAGAGCATGTGTGGGATGAAATGGAGCGCCGTCTGCGTCGTCTTCCACATCCTCCAGATAACGTCCGTGACTTGGCACAGGATTTGAGGAGGATATGGCAGGCCATTCCCCAGGCCTTCCATGCCAATTTGATGGACTCCATTCGTCGCCGATGCACTGCTGTGATTCACGCACAGGGCGGTCATACCCGTTATTGACTTTGTGACTTTGTCGTTTGACCCCCTACTCCATTTTGATCTTCTGACGTCATCGTAACAGATATTGTTCAGGTCCCGTTGACATTTTCTTATGGTCCGATCATTCAGCTGCTACAGCGTCTGCATCATTTTGTTCTTGCTGTGTTGTATTTCAATCCAGAATATATTTTCTCCGTGCACAGTTTCTTTATGTGGCTAATATATATATAGTGGATATCTGTCTCGCCATTTGTCAACCATGCAGCGACGTTTAGTTTGAGGACACTGGGGATGAATAAAATACACAATCTTCCTGCACTGCCTGTCTCCCAGCATACATGCACTTACCGCTCTTGCCTCTCCCACTCCAGGCCGCTCCGACAACAACCCCCAACCCTCAAACCAAACCCAACCCAACACACTGGTTACACATTGCTAGGTATATTTAGTTCATGACCTTTTTCCGCCCGTGAAATGGCCCTCGTCAGGCCCCTGCTGTGTCCTATATCCTTAGGATAAATTCTATTCACACAATGAACACGTTTTCGGGGCTGCAGTAAGTAGGCCACATACAGAAATAGAAACTTCTGTGCATGTGATACACAGTATCATGTGTAAAAACAGTCAACGTGTAAAATGTCAATTTACAATTATATTCCTACGGTGGCCCATAAAGGACATGGAGTCTGTTTTTCAATATTTTGATATTTCACTTTTATCATAACCTTTTGCAAATTAACACAATTTGTCATACAAATAAGTGATAAATCATGTATAAAAACAAACGAAAACATGGAAAATGTACTTTCAAGTAGCTATTGAATCGCTGAATTGTGAAGCGAAAATGTCAAAAACTAAAATCGAAATGTCAAAAACAAAAGCGAAAATGTCAAAAACGAAAACGAAAATGTCAAAAACAAAAGCGAAAATGTCAAAAACTAAAATGAAAATACAGAAATCTCTTTCCACCGCGGTGGATAGGTTTTCTGTATTTTCATTTAAGGATCTGGAGGACCAGGGGAGAACATCAACGTTCTTGTTGGGTAGACAGGCTCTTGTGATCCATGCTGTATGCGGTCGAGCGTTGTCCTTCTGGAATACACAGTTGCCGTTGGCTGGAATTGGGAGGACGTGTGCTGGGTGAATTTCGTTGATGGATCGTTCAGCCGTAAGACTGCCCTGGATATGGACCAAACCTGTCCTGCCATGATGGGAGATAGCAGCCCACATCATAACGCTACCCCTACCAAACCTATCCACGTCCTGTACGCAGCTTCCGGCATAACGTTTGTAGACCCGTGCTCTTCCATCCCTCGACGGAGGAGAAATCTTGATTCGTCGCTGAACCAGACATCTCTCCATCGCAGTTGAGGCAATAACCTCTGTTGATGACACCAATGCAGTCGCTGTTGACGATGTTGTCGACTCAATATGACGCGTCGAAAAGGACGTCTTGCTCGTAGACCTGCTGCTCTTAAATGGTTTCGTACGGTCTGGTCGGAGATTCTGCGCAGTCCGGGTATTTGGGATGCGGTTGTGGTGGCTGTGGTCGTCCTTTCACGTAGGTGCCGCAGTCGGATCTAGCGATCTTGGGCAGGGGTGGTCACCCTTGGTCGTCCCGACCTTGGCCGATCACGTGTTGACCCATGTAGTTGAAACCGAACCCATAGCCTTGTAATGGTACTGGGCGCTACATTAAAAACCCTGCCTGCAATCTTGGAATGTTATTGAACTGTCACTGTTCGATTGACGCAGATGCCAGGCAATCAAAACACTACACTATAATAACGTTCATGGTGCTGCTGCACGTGCCGTACGTGCAGCTCCATTGCCCTTTTGTTAATGCACTGGGTGCTTTTTTCCGAATCGTACGTGTTTCCCGATTAATATATTGTATGTCCTTGTTGCGATCCGTGAAATTTGTCACTGACACCGTAACACATTAAACCTCTTCCTTTTGCATCTCTTTGTCCCCTTATTTTGCTTCTGTGGCCAAAGATATCCGTTTTGCGTTTCCTTTTTTGAGGAGACACATATTCAATCAAGGAAAAAAGGACTAATTGGGCCCCAGCAATCTATAATGTACATACTTCCTAAAAAAGTGGTGAATATTCTTCTGTGTTGAAGTAACTTTGACGAATTTCCCTCCGAAAATGCCAATAATGCTAATAATTGGGCCCCAGCAATCTATAATGTACATACTAGACTGGATGATTTCCTTGTGCGCAACCTCCCCAAAAATGTGGTGAATATTCTTCTGTGATGGAGATACTTTGACCTGACGGTTATCTTAGACATGAAGGAGGTCATCCTGTTCAACCACCGAAATGTCGGAAAGAGCAGCCTGCAGAATACTGTCATCGCTCTTTGGCAATGTAGGCAATGTAGGAAGTCACTCTTGATGTCTGTGAACACATTGCTAAACAGATATTGCTCCTAAATGGCCAAAGACCGTTGTATTGGCCAATATTCACAAAGCCTCCAACCGTAAGAAATGCAACAGCTTCCCACTTGCCCATATAGGCATGCATGAAACACGGAATCTTAGACGTATTGCCAAACGTACATTCGTTAAAGAAAGCTGTTCAAAACTCGCTGAGCACATTGCGGGTAACACATCCATCCGTCTTTGCTGGTTTACGTTTTCCCTTGGCGGAGACTGTGTGATCGGAGACGTAGCCGGAATCTATCGACGCAACGGTGAAGCGGAACATGAAACGTTTTCACTTGCTGATATAAAGACTTGGTTCAAGCGTCTTTCTAGGGGGCACGGGTGGCCCAGTTGTCTAAGGCGCCGCGATTCGCTGTGCAGAGTTACGCCAGAAACCTATGATTGTGGGGTCGAATCCCGGTTCGCCCCGATTTTGTTTCTAGGTTTGTCAGCACCATACCCGTGCTCGTGGGTTTCACCGAAGTGGTAATCGTCTGTGACCTGCATCACTTCGGGCTTTCCTCTCACATTAAGCTGACACGCCGTGATAAATCTGGAATACTGTTAAAAGCGGCGTTAAACCCAACTCACTCACTCACTCACTCTAGTGTCTATCTACAATACAACCAACCTTATGATTCGTACCAGCTGTACGGATACCTCAGGAAGTGAACAACCAAGAGCAAGTCTATTTCTGTTAACAATACAACAACAAAAAATGCAGACATTGTAATTTGCCGAGCTGACTTATTCTAGGATGAAGTCCCACATGCTTAAGGTTTCTATTTACACGCAATATACACTCTTCAAAAGAAGAAAGGCACAAGTAGTATCAATTTCATTGAACCTGTTTCAACTACATGTTTTGTCTTCATGCTGCCAGTGTCACAGACAATATTCAACTGCATCAGGAGCATCTCATGGCTTTGTGATGTAATTAATTCGTTTGAGGACATGTTGTTTAAATGAGTTATCTCCATTGTGTTTTGACGTTAACATACAGCAGATATTCAACTATGAATTCCACTCAAATCTTGGTGATGTGTCTCAGTGAGGATTTCCGTCCTTTGGTGCGCCAGCAATCTATGGTTGGTTTTAACATTAGATGCTTTGATTCCTTTCACTGATAATGTTTCGTGCTTTGTCAGCACAAAACCTGTGATCGTGGATGTCACAAAATTCGTAAATGTCAACAAAGCTTAATCACATCAGGCTTTCCTCCACAAACATCCTTACACGTCGTCATATAGTTCCAACCCTTTTCAAATCGACGTGTCAAACTACTCACCGACTCTCTCACGTTGATAATTGTTCAAGAATAAATCATGAAAATAATGGATGTGATTTTTATTCTTTCAGATGTGTTCCTTACATTATTCCAAAAGTAGGAACCAGAGATTGTTTATCTTATCGGAAGCAAAGCGTGTTCATACATATTTTCAAAGATTACTTAAATGTGGATGTAATATTTGTACAATTGCCGAAGGTTCTCCTCCACCTACTAACCCGTTTCAACTGGCAAAGAACCCACTAATTTTTCTTTGGCAACCAAGTGCAGGATTGATGTTCTCATCAGTGCATTTAGGCATTGACTGTACGTTCCATACAGAAGACCAAACACCAACTGTGAGTTGTAGCAGTGAGACTAAAGAGGAAACAAACTGAAGGACCATTCCAGACAGCCCAGCAAGGTTGGTTGGTTGGTTGGTTTGTTGTTTAACGCCACACTCAGCAATGGGCCAGCTATATGACGGCGGTCTGTAAATAATCGAGTCTGGACCAGACAATCCAGTGATTAATATCATGAGAATCAATTCACGCAATTTGGATTGATGACATGCATCAACCAAGTCAGCGAGCCTGACCACCCGGTCCCGTTAGTCGCCTTTTACGACAAGCATAGTCACCTTTTACGGCAAGCATGGGTTGCTGAAGACCTATTCTACCCCGGAATCTTCACGGGTCCCCTGCAAGGCCTACAAGGAGCACCGTATATGGAATGTACGGACCTGAAGCAATTTTCCCCGTAGTTCTTCTTGACAACGCACCAACAACTCCCATTGCTGTGAACAGAGTATCAGCTTGACACTTTGATTTTCCTTTTTAGCCCAGCACGGTGGAACACAGCTGCGGACTCATCTAATATCCAAAACATCATGCTAATGCTATACATAAAAAAACTTCTGCGCCGAAGGCTTCTGAAAGGGAACTGTAGATTCACACTTACTTGATACTTTTGAAACATTTTTAGATTTCAGTCACGACGTGTCCGTTTCGAGTCGGAGAAAAGCTCAAAATGATGCATGCCTTCATAAACAAATATTCATGATATACTCAGAATCGTACAATCGACTCTGGTTTTGGCAGAGATTTATTATAAATATGGAACGGGTCTTGTCGCTTGTGTTTATTAGACGTTTACCGCTTCTTAGAGCCCCATTTATAGTGCAGATGTATGGTGCTGACACAAGCAAGGAAACAAAATCTCGCAAATGGATGCTTCAAACACTAAGTACGATCGCACACAAAGCTAATGGTAGGACATCGGCATAGAGAACCACACTGACAAGGTAGTTCAGCGAGCCCCTGCTCATGCCAGTAATTAGGAATCTATTGAACTTAAGTACCAACACTGGTTCCGGCATTTTTTTATATCACGTATGCCTGATCGTGTTAGTTTGAACACTGAATACTGGCGTTGATAAGAAATGAAATGAAAACCTGCCGATGTCCACAACATACTGTCAACAGAATAACAATGAAAATAGACTAATCCAAAGAACATGACGGTTTTGATCATAATGTTTATATCCGTAAGTAAAACTCGATCAGTTTTGAAAGATGACACGTTGTGTACGTGAACATATACATTCTCGATTGGTGAACTTTCCTTTTATCTTAATATTTGTTGAGAAAGATCGCTCAATGTAAATGTCAAGCCTGAGATGTGCAGGATGTATCTATGGAGCGGGCATCATGTTCCTTGTGTCTCACACTTGGGAGGAGGCACGGGTGGCCCAGTCGTCTAAGGCGCCGCAATTCGTCCCTTGGGCACGACAGAAACCTATGATTGTGGGTTCGAATCCCGGTTCGCCCCGATTATGTTTCTAGGTTTGTCAGCATCATACCCGTGCTCACCAAAGTGGTAAACGTGAGACCTGCATGACTTCGGGCTTTCCTCCCACATTAAGCTGACACGCCGTAATATAACTGGAGTACTGTTAAAAGCGGCGTTTAACCCAACTCACCCACACTCACTCAAACTTGGGAAGTCAGGGTCTTCACCCCAGATAATAATATAAAACACAGGGACAACACATAGTCTATCATTTTCACACTCCTTCCCTTTTTAATAGATTTGTCAATGTTACTTCATACACGCAGGTTCAAAATCTAAGACATTTCAAGTTCTGCAGATTTTCTTCTTTTGAACATGGGCAGGAGGGCACCACAGACGGAACTTAGCACCATACACAGACCTGTAAATATATATCAATATTAATATGGAGATTCTGCTACAGATACAGGAAATAATAAAAAGTACATGAGCTGATATTAAACAATAATTGTAACATTATACATGAATACATTTTCTTAGTAGTGCTTTCAAAATATATGAATTGGTTTCCTTTAATAGGACACAGTATCAGCTTAATGTGGGAGACAATTTCACATATATCCAATGGCGTTTAAACACTTTGTTAAAACCAAACGCACAGGTATGTTGCCGAGAAACATTACTCTATCGATGCAATTGTGGAATGAAAAGAGGTCTCTCTGCAATAGTTACTTGCACTCCTAAGATGACTTTTCCTAAATATATATGGAAAAGGATGTTGCAACAACTCTTATGTATTAATATTTGACAACTAATAATGTTCAGTTTACCTGCAAAAACGAATGTGTAGTCATACACTCCACTAAGTTTAAAGATGGTACCTGCAACATACATGTACAATTTGATGTCAGTTATAAGACAAAAGAATTCAAATTTAAGTACCAAACCCTCACCATAATAATCAATAATTTCTACTTAAATATCGGACATCATTTTTTATTTGAAGCGTCACAATAGAAAATATACCCCAAATGTCATGAACACAGAACCTTTGAGCAAGAAATATTCGACGCTCTTCGAAATGTTCATAGCAAACACCAACTTGCTTCTTTTCTATCGATGTAAACCGAAAAGAGGAGACAATGGAAGATGAGAGATTTGTCAGTACATTAAACTACGGTTATAACGAACTCAAAGGGACCTCTAACTTTAGTTTGTTATAACCGTAGTTCGTTATAAGCATATATACAGCATAACTATAGCAAATAGTCGGGACAAAAAATCAGTTCGTTATATCCGTCAGTTCGTTATAAGCGTGTTCGTTATAAACGTACTTTGCTGCACATTAATCGTCATTGCAGTACACAATGTGCAAAAAATAGATAACCACAGGACAACAGTCACAATACCTACTTGCTAGAGGAGCTCCAATCAAAAATCCAGCTCCAAAAGAAAACATCAGCATTCCGAATCCAATTTCTATTGCCGAGAGTCCGATAAGGTCTATAGTTATTGGACTAAGAAGGGAATTTGGTCCTCCCATTTGCAGTCCAAATATTGCTGCGTATATGCATTGTAGGTAGAACTGGTTTGCCATGAGAGGAAATAGCAAGGTGATTAATCCTCCCATGCCTAGCGTCCCCATGTGAAGTAGGTAATAACCAATTGCCGGGTCTGTCGCAGCAAACCCTGCTAGAAGCTTGGAAATGACATTCATGATGCCCATGATTGTGAATAGTGTACTAGCATCGCTTGGTGAACTTCCTTTCGAAGCAACATAGTTTGGTAGATGAAGGTATAAAGACGATTCTCCTATAGACCAAAATAAAATGCTTACCACATACACAATAAAACCACTTCGTACAAGAACAGAAATTTTAGTTTGTAGCAGTTTACATTTTCCATTATGAGCAGACCCTGTAGTTTCATGTTCACGATCATCAATATCATCTGAAGGCTGGACGGATGATTTTGGGGTTGTCCATTTTGACCCGATCTTCATTTTGCTAAACCTGTTGGGTTCAGTTTGATCGTTTTCATCAATATTTGTTTCCTCGTCATCCATTAAACCTTTTGTTTCACTTTCATGCACCACTGATGAATTACTACTAAACAGTTTGGTTTGATCCTTTACACACTTGGAACGTAGCTGTTCCCCTTCAAATGATTCTTTTGCAGTTTCAGCACCATCGTATTCTTGGGGCCGGATGATAAGCCCGGCAATGCATATATGGAATGACAAGGCCCCCAGGATGAGTATTGTCCCGCTGAGGTTATACGTCTCAAGGAGATACCGGATCAATGGAGCTCCTAGAAACATTCCACATCCACCTCCAGACATAGACACAGCAAAGGCAATAGGACGCTTCTTGTCGAAGTAGTGACCAGGAACGGATCCGGCAACGTTGACGCTCAAGGCAAATCCACAACCTGAATAAACAGAAACCTGATGAATTTATTAAGGTCATGGTGCTTGAAAATTATGAATTGCTTAATATTTTATGCAATTATTACATGAACTATTCAATAATTGACTAAATTGCAATATTTTTGTTAAAACAAAAATTTTAATACGAAAACTCAAAATACCAATCACACTAAATGTATCAATAGATGAACCAAAATGACCAAAATATCAGTGAGTTACCTGAAAGTAGGCTATATGTTGCAAGAAGGCCGGGTACAGTTGTAGCAAACGATGCTGCTGTAAGTCCACCGAATGTGATCAAACCACCTAGACATGTTGTTGCCCTTGCTCCAAATTTGCGGTTAAAAATACCCACGAATGGACCTGGAACAATGAAATTGTAAATAGACAAGTGCATGTCTTTTTGCCGAAATATACTGAACCGCAAAAGAAACGTCACCTTGTATAGATATATGAGAAACCTTATTTGTCCAAACACTGTAAACATACTTTGAGACATATTCAAAAGATGAAACTTGGCAAAACTGATCATCAAGGTTGAAATTAAAGTGTCAAATGTTCTTAACGTGAAACACAACGCTAGTCTCTGAGAAAATGACATCACAAGTCAATATCGCGTTTGTCCGCCATGTGCATTGATGACTGCTGTGCAACGTCGATACATGAAATGGATGAGGCGGTTGATGAAGGCCAAAGGCACTTAAGTCCACACTCTGAGGAACGCGTGTATGGTCTGAGGTCTGTGTATGGTCTGAGAAGACTCTTCTCCAATGCTGGTGGCGCCAATGCTGGTGCTGTGTTGCCCACTGAAGATGTGGTGTCGGAATCGGTCCTGGGTGTGGCCTGTGACAGTGGAGGTGTCTGCTCGTCAATCGTCGGTTTGTCCAGCTTGCAATCGTCCAAGGGTTTGGTGTCGCTGATTTCTTTTCAATCTTGGCATGTGGTAGCAATTCAACAACGAATGAATGTTATCCGATCTGGGTGGATTTGTATAGGGCAAGAAATGGGGGAACGCATGTGCATTTCAATTTGCACGGAACTCACGTGCTTCGGGTTAACATGGCCGTTGCCGTGATGCGTTTGGGCGATCGGTTTTATCGTCATCTGCTTTTTTTTATCATCAAATTTCTTTTTACCGGACAAGGTAAAATTAAATTGTAGAAACTTTGATAAAAGTTACCCAGATATTCAAATGACAACTATTCATGCAATGTTACTTGGGGTGACGTTTCGTTCGCGGTTCAGTATATAACTTCCTCAGAAATAGAAGAATTATAGTGTGTGAAAGTTGTATTGGACAAGGGGTATGTTATAGTTAGACTACAATCAAGATTGATATCCATGGATCAAAGAATTACCATATAAAAGAACTTTCACACAGTACATGCATTACGTATGCAGGTCCTGACATTATTGGTTAGATGGCTGTCATTTTACTGTTCTAAGTTATCTTCACGCTGTCACTATTTGTCATTGCCCAGTGACAATATGTTTGATTTAATAAACAAATGCTTAAACATATGTACCCAGTAAAGTGATGGTTGCATTCAGTGTCGCTCCTACCCATGACGTCCGGGTCAGATCGCTGTCAATTTCTTCTAAGATGGCGCTGGTCATGGCTCCGACATTGAAGACCAACATGCCCACAAGAAACTGTATTCCAAAGGCTGCCGAGAGCACCACCCAAGAGTAGCCCTGATCTATGTGGACCCTCTGTCCAGCCATGATGTCTGGTGACACTGTCAGGCCTCTTTCCTTCGCTGTCAACATATATACAGTGGGACATTGTTAATTATCTGTTTCTCTCACACAGATTCAAGACGTTACACGGTTATAACACATAATCGTATTCTGATGAGATACATCCTCTCCAACAGAAGGTTTGTTTGTTGGTTGTTTAACGCCGCACTCAGCAATATTCTAGCTTTATGACGGCGGTCTGTAAATAATCGAGTCTTGACCAGACAATCTAGTGATTGACATCATGAAAACCGAACCACGCAATTGGGATACGATGACATGCATCAACCAAGTCAGCGAGCCTGACCACCCGATCACCACCCGATCTCGGCAGTCGCCTCTTACGACAAACATAGTCGCCTTTTACAGCAAGCATCGGTCTTTTCAACTGACCTCCTTCGTCGTGCAGTTAATGGAAGACCTCGGGCTTCTGCAAATGAAAAAGCCCTAAAAATAGCGTTACCCTTATATCAGCGGGCCAGTGTAACTTGATAATGCCCTCATATTGCTTGACGAGAGGCCATTATCACGCCCGTGGTTAGGTGATGTCATAGGATAGGGATAGGGGACGTCACGTTGAATAGTGACGTCATCTGGTTTGTCACTATTCATATTGCTTAATTGCTTTCCATATTTGTAAAAGTGGGTCAGTGACATTCGTGTTGATTGTAGTAAATGTTTCCAAACCAATATTGTTGTTTCTTTTTATTTGATAACAAATTCTATGCATTATAGCTATAATCACGGTAACGCTATTTTTCAGGGCATGATCATTTGCAGAAGCCCTCGGTCTTTTCTTCCTTCGTCGGGCTGTTAACGGAACACCTCAGGCTTCTGCAAATGATAATGTCCTCAAAATAGCCTTACCCTTATGCTATAGCTAAAGTGGATAGAATTATCATTAAACCGCCCGCAAGTTATCAGAAATGAGCGGGCCACTGTAACTTGATAATGCCCTCATATTGCTTGACGACGGGCCATTATCAAGCCCGTTGTTAGGTGACGTCATAGGGTAGAGAAAATGACGTCACGTATTATAGTGACGTCATCTAGTTTGTTCTATGACGTTTCCATATTTGTAAAATGTGGTCAGTGACATTCGTGTTGATTGCAGTAAATGTTTCAAAACCGATGTTGTTGTTTCTTTTTATTTGATAACAAATTCCATCCATTTTAGCTATAATAACGGTAACGCTCTTTTTCAGGGCATTATCATTTGCAGAAACCCTCGGTCTTTTCAACTGCCCTCCTTTGTCGGTCAGTTAATGGAAAACCTCGGTCTTCTACAAATGATAATGCCCTGAAAAATAGCGTTACCCTTATAATAGTTGGGTTTTCACAACACAATGGATGACATTTCCAAATTGGACGCATCAGTGACAAATATTATATGTTATACAATGTCCTGTTTAGATTTTGACCATATATTCTCTGGTTTGTTCATATTTGACTTGTCTTTGCATGTGATGTTAAAGGGGCATCTGCGGTAGGAACTACCGCACTCTAGTTGGCGGAGCTTATCCGAGTGATCAGACAGGTCAATATGACGTCATGATAACACACATATTTCATTGGTTAATGCGTAAACGGGTGACGGCATGTAAACACCCACCAACGTGGACCGTTTGACAACAAGGACGTTAGTTTTAATGGTAATAACTATCTATCAAACGACTCGAAGACTTTTCAACAAACGTGTAGGTCTTGGGTTTCAAAACATACCTGCCATGTCGTCTTCACATCCTCATAAAATGATACTGCGGAATAGCCACGATTTATCCAACGCAGTCCAACACAGAAATTATAGATGTTCTCGTTCTGAGCTATATTCTAGATCTCTGGACGAAATACGTTTGTCGTGATGAATATGAGCAGTGTAATTGAAGAAAAACACATAATATGTGTTACGGCACCAATCGTATTCCTATGGTGTACGGTATATCTGCAGTTTATAAATAGCATTTCTCACAAATTGAATATATACGGCAATCGGTGATGTGAACAATGTGTTTCTTCGTTGTGTTCGTCTTGCCTCATCTGGAATCTGGATGACAACGATCCTGTAAAAAAACCTGGTTATGGCCAAAAATATTTTCAAGTGATCAAAGTATTCTTTTGTCTTTTCCGTGACATCTTTTCATTGCCCAGAAGCAATGTATTTTGGCAAAGTCACACTTGTCCGATGAAGCTCCTCATGCCAAAGTAACTCGATCCGTGAAACTTGGCGGGTCCCAGTGACCCAGATCCCTGTTGATAATCCCAAGTGTCATTTGCATGAGGTCATCCATATTTTTTGTATGTGTTTCTCCCCTCAAGCCTCAGCTAACCAGAGAGCGGGCGGACGAAATAAAATATATTAAATAATAATTGTTAAAAATATTTTATGACATTTAAAAAAAAGGTTTAAACACTTGGTACTAGAATCTAGCCTATGAATTAATTTATGATGTAGATCGTTTCGCTTTGCTTCGGAAACGAATTTTTAATAAACAACGGAACAAAGATAAAGTTGACCTGGTTCTTTTATGACGGTGCAATGGTAGATCTAGTAGTATTTCTTTTATTAGATCGGTGCGCAATTTTCCACAGCGGCAGCAAAATTGAGACCCGAAAACATTATTTTGCTTGTCTTCACTATGAGCAACAAAACATATTCATGTGAAGCCTAATTTGACGAAGAGTTGTTCGAGATGATCAGGAAGCCTTCGGTCATTTCGATTATGACATTGGTGGCTGTATCGTGGAGAAAGTTCCAATTCAAGATGACATCATTCCGATTCACAACTCGAATCGACAAAATGGCGCCTATCTTCCCGCCCTTGCAAGTGCAACAGAAACTTTGACAAATTCAGCGCGGATTCTTGGGATTAGTGAATCAGTGTCACAGCGAGATTTTATGTAGAACAAGATGAAGCCGAATATGTATGTTCACACTTCTTTGTCAACCATGCGTGACACGGCACAGGCAATCGCAGTTTGGGAATGGTGCGGCCACCTTGTTGCAGAAATTCGATTCGATTGCTAAATAAACGAAGTGTTTGGAGAGATCGTAGATACTTGGACTTGAAGAAACGGAATTAAACGTTGCAGCAGATGAAGGATTGGTGTGGACAAAACGGGAAAGGGATCCCAGATTGTATTTTAAAACTTGTGCGCGAAGTGTATCCAAATACCCTGAACAAAAAATACATGGGGCAAGTGTGGATCTAATCATCAAACTCAGTTTTGTGTGTGACAATTCTGTGAAAGAAAAGGAAATTCATAATTAAAGTTGTCTTGGAATATGTGTATTTGAGTATTCGTTTATCGTAAGAACAATATTATCTGGATACGCCTTATGTAGATCAAAACATCAAGTTTATTTCGTTACTTATTTACAAGTTGCTTATGTGCATTGTTATGTTGATACACGTGACATACTCATCTATTGTTGTCAAGCTGAGAAATATTGGCGCAATTTTTGGTGCTTCAAAATAGGCCCCTTCCTAAACACTAGTTGAAATATCTGTGTAATAATTTAAGTTTTATAAATATAATCTGATTATTGTTTGGCACAGATCTAACTGTTGAATGCAAATGACCAAAACTAAACAAATATCTGTAATTGTCGTATTGAACTGAAAGAATCGTGTCGTCAATTTCGCATTTAAGTATCGTTACTGTTACATTAACCGAAACTGATGTTCTGCTGCTGTTCTACCTTAAAAAAAACAACATCACAATACATTTTGACCACAATGAATGTGTCACATGTACACATGACCATGTGCTTTGCTATTTATAGCGCAACCGTCAATAAGCTCCGCCCACTGTGATTGATGCAGACGCCGAACACGATCGATTCGATTTTTCATGAAAAAACTACAGAAACTCTATTGACTTATATCTTGATATGGAGCCATTTGTTGTATCCATGGTTTGTCATTCAAATTGTTACGAAGTTTGACGGTCAATGGTGACCTGGTTCCCGTATGGTTTTTAAAAAGCTTCTCCCGACACTCGGTTGTGTTTACATTGTCAGTCATTGTTCGAAACTGAAACATCGCACCTTGCTGGCTATTTAGAGTCAGGGTGGGGCTTTAAGGGATGTCGCCGTCGGGCAAGGATACGCTCACCTTTTCGCGAACACCTGATATCGTTCCTATTTTATAGCGGATTTATGTACCATGGCTGCTAAAATAGCTGTTCACGGTGACAGAGCTGTTTGTTAAGAAATTGATTTCGTCATGATTAATATGCTGTTGTGTGCAGAGAACCACTGAATGACAAAGGCATCTGATTAATGATGCGACTATTAGGAGGTCGGTGTGACTAGTCGACACCAGATTTCTCTAAAAGTCGTTATTTGGACGTTAATTATAAACAAATAAACATGTCAAAGCGAGGTTTCTCGGGCTCTAGAATTGTCATAAGCTAGCATTGCCACTGGTCTGTTTGTATCTACGCTTAAGTGCATCTGAATGTGAAGACTTGTGCCATGATTTTCCAGTTATCTCAATATATATCCAGCCAGCAATATTACGTTTGCAGTAAGCTGAAACACCATAAACAATCACTCGGGAATAATGAAGGAGTGTGTCATTGAGTCAGCTGTCGCCACGTTAATGTCTCAAACTTCACAATCATTTCAAACTAGTCGTTATTGCTATCTGGGGTAAAAAAAATAATTCTATTTTCACAGCTAATTAATTCCCTTCATTGCCTCGATACTCCTCTGGTGTTGTTATCTATGAACATTTGCTGTCACCGTTTTCACAGTCATCGGGTTCCTCAGATCAGCATGAACTATTATGTGTTATTGATCTCGCCACTAGAACGCGTTGTTAGCCGAGACAGGCACGCACATATCCACATATACTTGTCGCGGACCACCCGCTACCCCCTTCTCCACAAGAGAGTGTATGAGTCTACTTTGGTGAAATTGGGTTTAACGTTGCGTTCAAGATATATGCACCTTTGTGTCTGTGTGTGGCTGCGTGTATAATACCGATTTTATAGTGCTAGCCCACTGAGATATCATTCAGCAGTTTAACATGAATACTAGCACCCCATTCAGACACAGTATACTGACTCCGAGCCGACCAGTACTTGTTTTGTCCCCTTCATGCCGAGCGCAAGGCAAGGTAAGAACAAGTACAATCTTTAAACGTCTTTTTGGTGTGATCGAACCGCTGAATTTCCGCTCCCCGGGCAGACGCTCTACCACAAGACCACAAAGTCGGTTTATGTTCCTTTTGAATCTAGCTTAAAGGACAATCAGTATAACGGCAGTCAGATACTCTGTCCCTTTGGTGAAAACCACGATCACTTATCACAACTGGCTGATCTAGGATCATAAACAGGGTGACTCAGAGATTTTATATATCCCGAGATCATATAATCCTGACATAGATAAAGGACAGAACTCTTCACCGATGTTCGATTCACTATAAGTCAGAGCGACACGGCGACACTTGATGATGCCAACGGTATTTTACCACCTGCCGGAGCTGATATCAATCAGCGCATTGAGGATCAGTGCGAGTGTAGAGAGAGTTAATTTGAAATGTTGTACGATTTGGTTGGTTGTTTTGTTGTTTAACGCCGCACTCAGCAATATTCCAGCTATATGACGGCGGTCCGTAAACAATCGAGTCTGAACCAGACAATTCAGTGATTAATATCATGAGCATCGATCCACACAATTAGGATCGATGACATGTATCAACCAAGTCAGCGAGCCTGACCAACCGATCCCGTTAGTCGCCTCTTACGACAAGCATAGTCGCCTTTTACGGCAAGCATGGGTTGCTGAAGACCTACATGTATTCTATCCCGGATCTTCACGGGTCATACATACCGTGTATGTAGTGTTCGCAGTCCAACCAATAGCCTTGTCCACCATCCACATGTTGGAAGGCTCTTGTGGTTTTAACAAGGATTTAGTGTTACCTGCTGTTGTGAAATACGTCCTGGGCGATAACCTAGTTATGCCTTCTTATCCGGGTAGGTCAGTTCCCGAGTCTAATCGTAGCTCAGATAAACCAATGTCAACACTCTCTTGTATTCTCCCACAATGAGATACTCAGGTCAGCCTACGATTGATAACATGTGTTGAAGTGGGCCACTCATTTTATGCTTAAAGGCTTGATCGTTCATTGAAACATACATGTGGGAAATGTAAGATTTCGTTTAAAAAACAGCAAATTAAACTGTTTACTCAATATGACTTTCAACTGACTATTAATGACTGTGTTTAATAATAAACCATGGCCTGTTTAGGGTTTTATAAGATATCTTCTGTGCATGTGTTTATGTGGCTTGACAAACCCTTAGATATTTATGGGAATCCAAGGAAATGCGTGAAACGACTGAATCGCCGCTTTGAGCATTTATAATAGTGTCAGCTTACTTATGGAGGAACTCCGTGCTGCAGGCCATCAGAGGAGGAGGTGTTCCACAGTAACTCTTTGTGTTTGCTTTTGGTTTTTTTAACGCCGCACTCAGCAACATTCTAGCTATATAATGAGTGTGGACCAGACAATCCAGTGATTGACATCATGTACAACGATCCACTCAATTGGGATGCATCAACCACGTCAGCGAGCCTGACCATCCGATCTCGGCGGTCGCCTCTTATGACAAGCATAGTCGCCTTTTATGGCAAGCATTGGTTGCTGAAGACCTATTGTACCCCGGATCTTCACGGGTCTAACTCTTAGTGACACCCACGAGCATGGGTATGATTATGTCAAACCAGTGATCATAGATAAGAATAATCTGACAGTCTGGTGACTCTTTTTGCAACAGGTTTATAAAATTTGGATTTTTCAGGTTGTAGCACGTACTCCTCCACTCAGACATTGATATACATACTAGAGAATACTACACTCATTCTCGTTAGATACCATTTTTACGAAACGAGTGGACTTTCTATGGTATCTGACCGCGCGAAAGCGATGTAAGGTACCATTGAAAGTTTACACGTTCGTAAAAATGGTATCTGACGAGAATGAGTGTGGTATTTTATTTATTACCCACGTTAAATATGTATGTAAGTGTAAATACATAATAACTTTCGTTCGTTGACAGACCAAACCGAAACCGGTTGCAAAATCTTGCTGCGCATAAATATTGATATATTCCCAAATATGGGCATTGTTGACATTTCTATGCATACGCATTAACAACATGCGCGTGCAGTTGTGTTTGCAAACATAACAGCACCGACGCTCAAGATCCTTTTGGGAGAATTTCTTCAACTTATGGTAATTCAAGAGCCATATCGTTAGTACGCAAGACACCTATAAGAAAAGTCACATTAGCGCTGCACTTTTAATATCGGACCAACAGTCGGTCAATCGCCCTGCCGGTGTCCCGACTGTGCACTCAATATGGTTCGGTTTCCTTAATCTATCTGCTGAAATTATATCATGTCCGTACCATTTTGGAAGAGGGAAATCAGAGTGTTCACCAAAGACATTCATGTTAACTGTACCACCTTATACTGAAGACGTGAAAATCAACAAACTCAAATCTGCTCACATGTCAGTGACAGCTTCGAAAGAAGGGCAAGATCACCACCGGAATATGAAAAGACAACCGTGATCTACAACCGAGATGGGGAAGGTTATTGTTCACATTTGGGATATTTTGGGCCACAAAACCAGAAGTCAGGCACACTTCTTCGGAGTTTTCGAATGATTTGTATCGGAAGTGTTCACTTTGAGTGATCTGGTGGAGTCGTGAACAATCAACTCCCGAAACAGTGCCACAAAATACGCTTCGAAGGGGTCACTGATGGCACAACCGGATCATCCCAAGTAAGTCTAGATATCTGTCCAGATAAACTGACGGGCAAAAGAAACTATACCAAAGCATTTTTTATTTTAAAAATATCACATCAGCACTGAACTGGAGTTTTCATTGTCAAACAAAATCGCACGAACGCAGCTTCATCATTACTGAGTTTCAAAATTCCTGCTTCTTCCCGAATATGGACTTTAACGAACTTTTTTCATTCAAAATAGGATGCACGTGCATCACGACAAAATGGCTCGGAACGGTATAAAATCCGCCAATCTGTATGTTTTACACCACAATCGTACAGACCACAACGGCTGACATGCCGAGACTGACCGCACAAGAGCGAGAGAGAGCAATTGGGATGTTGCAGTTGGGAGCACGCCATGCCCATGTTGCTCGCATCTTCAACTGCACCAGAACAACGATGACGAGGCTGCAGACACGACTCACACAAACAGGTCGTACAGATGACAGGCCAAGAAGTGGAAGACCCAGGGTCACAACCGCCAATGAAGATCGGTACCTCCGCATCTTACATCTACGCAATCGTTTCGTCACTGTGACGTCATCGGCAGCCACAGCCTTACATCATGTGGTCAGCAGAAGGACAGTTGCCAGGCGTCTTCGACAACACGGTATTCGGGCCTACCGGCCCTTTCGCGGGATGACCTTGAGCCGTCGTGACCGACGTAACCGACTCCATTGGGCAAGAATGGTACAGCGGTGGCAAAACAGGAACTGGCAACGAATTCTATTCTCTGATGAGAGCAGGTTCCAGTTGTATCGAGCTGATGGCCGTGTGCGTTTGTATCGTCGGAGAGGAGAGAGAACTGCCCAATGTTGTGTTCAGGAGACCGTGCCATTCGGTGGTGGAAGCGTCATGGTCTGGGCTGGGATTTTCAGGGACCGTACAACAGACCTGGTTGTCTTTGACCGTAATTTAAATGCTCAAGTCTACATCGACCATGTATTGCGTCCTGTGGTGCTTCCCTTCCTCCAGAGGTATCCCAGAGTAATCTTCCAACAGGACAACGCTCGCCCCCAACACCGCCAGGATCACCAAAGACTTCCTAACTGCAAATAATGTAAACCTTTTGCAATGGCCAGTAAGATCGCCTGACTTAACACCCATTGAGCACTTGTGGGACTTTCTGGACAGACAAATGAGGGAAAGAAATCCCCCTCCGTCAAGTTGTCAAACGTTGATTCAGGCACTGTTTGAAGAATGGCGAGCCATCCCCAATGACGTCATCAGGGATCTTGTAAACTCCGTGCGGCGACGTGTCCAAGCCTGTATTCAGAGCAATGGAGGCCATACAAGATACTGACAGTAATGCATTTGTGAAAAAATGCGTTTTCTGTTTTCGTTCAGATGATTTGTTTATTTTGCAAATTGACATTTATCCCCTGTGTCATTCCTTACCTGATATTGAAGGGCCTGTAAATGCCACCTTTGTGGAATTTGAATCAGAACATTGTCAGATAAATATTCTTCCAACTCGCAACACTATATTTTTGTGATATATTTGATAATGTTGTCAATACCAAATCAATGTTGGTATAGTTTCTTTTGCCCGTCATTTCAGTTTAAACTGACTTCATTTCACCACGCTTATCCATTCACGTTAAATCAAATTGAAAAGTGCGAAAGAAGGCGGGTGCGTCACGCTGATAGGGACCCTCGATCTATTGATAGGTATTCGTACATTGTAAATGGATATAGCTCGATTTTATAATGTCTGTAGAAGCTCTATGCATAACCTATATAGAGTGCAAGCCGAATTTGATGCGTGTGACTATTTTGTTTGGTTTAATAAAGTGTTTGTAAATATCTCTCGCTCTCACGAGATTGCTTTGGTTCTACCTTGTTGTTGCAAAATGAATGACGTCTCGCGTGTGACGTAAAGATTTAGTATCTTACCTTATCTTACCTTATCTTATCTTATCCTACATGCATCTTCACCACGTGGGTAATAACATGAGATATGTCATAAGTAATATTTATGAATACAGTAAGCAGAGTAGTTAATACAATATTTGATGCAGACATTCAGTTTCACAAAGAACCATGCTTTACCATCATTTCGAAAGCAATACTGCCACAGTGTTAACACCACAATTTCTGTTGCGGTAAGCACATATTTACCAAAGCGTCCATATCTAGATATACATATGACATATGAATATGAATGAACATTACAAACATGTACTAAACCATATCAGGTGGGTAACATCGCCGTTGGCATCAAAGGCAAATACATGTAGTCTTATTCCACATCTCCTTAGCTGCAAACTCCAGTATACAGCAAAATATTGTTTCATTTGTCACGGTCAAGTACATTTTACTTACACCAATGTCACAAAACACACATTATAGTAATGTACAGCATAGCCTGTTCAGGCATGTAGTAGTCAGTGGCGTCAACTGAACAAGCATAGGACGTTACATGACAGTAGAACTCGGCCCACCTCCATCCCCAGGTTATCTCAGTATTAAAAAGCCATAATAGAACTGCATACCCAAGTTTCAAGTCAAAGTGACTATCACAATCCATAATACATAAATCGTATCTCATGTGGTAGGGGCTGTATGCGGATGATCTATGGGCGTGTTCAATGAAATTATGGGATATCACTACAGGTACTTGGCGGAGTCATCGTGCAGGAATAAGGCGGGTACGCTCGACAGCCGGCACAACACAGTAAACTACGGTTATAACGAACACGCATATAACGAACTCACTGATATAACGAACTTATTTTTCAGTTCCGACCATTTGTTGTATAAATGTCGTGTATATGCTTATAACGATCTACGTTTTTTACGAACTTAAATTAGTGGTCCCCTCGAGTTCGTTATAGCCTTGGTTTACTGTATATAAGTTCATGAGTTTCACCAAGCGATAGAAGCCTTACCTATGCTTCTTATTTTCTCTCAAATCAAGTTTTCTCACAGGCATGTTAAACCATACACATTTGCCTATTTCATGAATGACATGTAATTAATTTGAGGATTGAAAATGAACTTAAAAAACAAACAATGTTACTGATATATCATGGCGACCTAGTGGTTCATATATTGATTAACATCATTTTCTAAACAACCGTGACACCAGACTGACCACCCGCCCAATCATGTCGTTCTTGTCAACACATATAGTGTATTGTGTTTGTTCTG